TTTTTCCATCATTTTGTGAGCTTCATTTAAACTCTCGGCTATAATGACAATATCATCTGCAAAGCGCAAATGGCTTAAGTATTCACCATCAATATTTATTCCCCTTTTAGCCCAATCTAGTTTTTTAAAGGCATATTCCAGAGCTGCAGTGAATAGTTGGGGGGAGATGGTGTCGCCCTGTCTAATTCCTTGCTCAATTCTATATTTATCGGTAAAGTCATGGAGTTTAACAGATGCTGTTGCGTTGTTGTATATATGTTTTATCAAATTTGTATATCTGTAGTCTACTCGGCTTTGTTCTAATGCTCCTAATACTGCCAGTAATTCCACGGTATCAAAAGCTTTCTTGAAGTCTATGAAAATCAACGTGAGTGGTTTATTATATTCAACACATTTTTTAATTAGTATTTTAAGTGCTTATAGGTGGTCATTTGTTCCATAACCTTTCCTAAACCCAGCTTGCTCCTTAGACTGATAGAAATCTAATTTTCGTTCTAAAACGTTTTGTGATGATCTTGGTAAACCATTTGTAGAGATGTGACAACAGACTTATCGGTCTATAATTCTCTAGGTCTGATATATCTTCTTTTTTGTGTATTAGGATAGTAATTGCATTGTTCCATTTTGTAGGGACAATACCTTGGTTTAGACATAGGTTGAATAGTTCAGTTACTACTTCCAGCAGTTTCTTGCCTCCTACTTTAACAGCTTCTATTACTATTTGATCATCTCCCGGAGCTTTGTTGTTTTTCATTTCCTTTAGAGTTCGTTTTACTTCTTCTATCGTTATGGTAGGCAGAAGTTCGGAACCTTGGTTCATTACTCTGCGTTCTCTAATTTGTGTTTTGTCTTCTTCTGTTAACTGGCTTTTGTATAATTCTTCATATAAGCTTTTTGCTATATTTACTATTCTCTCTCTATTTGTTGTTATATTACCTTCCTTGTCTTTTAGTTTAACAATTTCCTTTTTACTATCACAAAGCTTTCTTCTGAGTATTTTCATATTTCCATTTTGCTCAATCACATTTTGTATTTTCTCAGTATTATACTTCCTCTGATCTTTACGGTCATACTATTATCTACGATTAAATAAATATTATTTAAAATCTGTAATTCGAATTAAATTGAAATTTATGGATTTTATGCAATTTTTTTTATAAATATGCAAAATCTGTAGATTTTTTTCAGCCTTTTATTTTTCCTTTACTGGTCTAAAGGAAAACTTACTCACTTTGTTGTACTTATTTCGAAGAATTAATTTTAACATGTAATGGATTCTGACCATTTTTTGTAACGAATTGATAACAAACGAAGTGATGTAAACCAAAAGCGTGCACAGATTAAAAAGTGTTTACAAACATTGAGCAATGCGTGATGCCGGTTGCAAAAGAATAGTTACAGCTTCTGATCATACGATTTTAATTCAGGAAAACATCGTACAATTACAAAACATTTTGTTTTTAGCAAGATAAAGACTGTGCGTAATGGACGTCATTATTCAATTTAAAGCAAAACGAGATATTTGGGTCAATGTATTTATAGAAGTGTGTTCAAGTTTAGTTATTCGCTAAAAATAATTCGGCAACTTTACAAAGTAGAAGTATAAGGAAAGAGGTATTTTAACACAATTGAAAAGAACAGCAGAGTAACTGTGAAATAAACTTCTTATAAGAATTATTCAAGATAATTTGTGGTTTAATAGTAACAAAGGCAAATAATGTAAATTTTTGTTTGTTTGTTCTTTATTAACGGATTCTATTTAAAGAAAGTGGAGTTTAATATTATTTTCGCATTCAAATTGTCACATAAATCACTTCTGAGGCTTTTATCTCTATATTCCGGTATGTTTTTCCAGTAGGAATCTATGGAGTGAGTAACATCGAGACGCAAGTCCTTATCTCTTGCCATAATGCTCGTCCATAGGTCGATTAGATATACCAGCGTGTTCTAGACTAAGTAGCAGATCTATTTGAATTTTGCACTACTACGTTAGTCTATAACATCTTCTACTGGGCCTTCTGGGGCTTAAAAATTTAAATTCTAAATGATCCAATACACTATAAACCTAAAAACAAAATCTACATCTTACTATACAATTACAAACAATTTTATAGCGTTGTATACCCTTTTGGGTTCAGAACTCTTTGTCATATATACTTTACCATTTACATATCTTTTACCATACAAGTTTATTGTATATTGCACCCTTTTTGTTTTAACTTATGTGAGATTTGAACTTTGCGAAAACGCCACGCCATTGTAAAAGCTGGAAAACCCTTGGAGCTGGAACTGATTAAACTTTGAGTGAAGGATGTCTTACAATGCATGGTAGGTCCAGATATGACCAAGAAGATTGATAATGTGCAGATGTCAAATAGCACTATAAGCAAGAGAATTAACACTATTTCAGACTGTTAAGAGAGAGATGGAGCTTATAAATAGATTAAAAACTTGTGAATTCTTGGGTGAAACAGCTTGATGAAAGTACCGACATTGCTGGACTTGCTATTCTGCTTCTGTTTGTGAGGTTTCCATTCGGGATGAAAATAGAAGAAGGACTCCTTATGTGTGAAGAGCTTAAAAGTTGTGCACTTGGTAAAGAAATTTTCAAGGCTATCCACGAGTATATAAGAAAAAATGATATAAAAAATGATAAATGAGTGAATATTGGCAGTGTCTAGAATAAAGGTAATGGCAGAAAATGGCTCCAGCAGTCATTGTATCTTACATTGCCATTCTTTGTCAACTAAAAAGATGCTGCAAGATTTGAAAGACATTTTGGATGGTTCCGTGAAAATAATTAGCCATGTGAAGAGCCGTCCGTTTCAAGCGCGCCTTTTAAAGCTCACCGCTGAAGATATGGGTATGGATCACTTCAATCTTTTGCTCTACACAGATGTCCGGTGGCTATCGAGGGGAACAATTTTAGGTATACTATTTGAACTAAAGATCCACTGAGTATCACATTTACAGGAGTCTTTCATCCAAAAATTAAAAGATGTCAATTGGCTGCTAAAATTGGGATACCTTTTAGACATCTTCGAAATAATAAATAAAACCACCACTTCGCTTCAAGGCAAAGAAGGAGCACAATTAGATAAAATCAAAGCCTTGCGTAAAATAGTTACATTTTTCAAAGTGAAATTAATCCTTAAAACTTCTTTGAAATTGTTATTGCTCATATGTAAGGTTTCGAAGAAATTATTGTAAACTATTTTCCTGACATTGGCTCAGATGACCCAAAAAATAAACCTGTCGGAATGACAAATGAAGTTTTTCAAAATCTACTTGCGATCAGTGAAGATAGCAGTTTAAAACTCAAATACTGTGAAGGAAGCCAAGAATAGTTCTGGAAGCAGGTATATTCAGAAAATAATGTTGGCAAGGTTGCAGTGAAAAAACTTGTGTGATTCACATAGACTTATCTCTGTGAGTCTTCTTTTCTCAGCATATGCTCACTTTAAACATAAATACAGAAGCAAACTGCAAGCATTAAGAGATGTGAGGGTCAAACTTACAAAGAGTCTCATAGTTATAAAGGATATAATCAAAACATCATCGAAAAATCAAATGTATTGAATTGTATTTTATTGATCTGAAATAAAGTTTATATTAAAATCAAATGAGCCTCAGACTTGTATAGTGCCTTAAAAGCATGTTTCAATAGTTTTCTTGGTATGTTGTCTATCTCCTCTTACTGTCTATATAATTGTATGTAAGTTTTATTGTTTGATTTCGGCTTTGTAGATATTATAAATAATTTCAGGCTTTTTAAGGTTTTATTGAAGTAATTCTGCGAGAACCAAGTTCAGTAATCTCTTTAAAATATTCTTTTATACATGCATTTGATGCCAATATTGACATCTGATACAATTGCAACTAGTCTGTTTCTTTTTTTCATTGAATGGTTTTTTTGGTTTTTTTTTTGTCCCAAGAAATTCATGTTAGTACCCTTTTGTTTCATTTTTTTGCTGTTGCCCCAATCCAACCCCCTTTTCCACGACTTCAGCTCTCCAAACAATCCCTGAGTGCCGTTCGCATAAGTAGCGTTTATTATGCTTGCCCTATCTCCACCCCAATAATTTATGTCTCCAATTTTTTACCTCTTATAATAATACTCCATGTGGTAGGCAAAATATATTCGTTGCAAAGCCAATAAACCTTTAAACCATTGAACATTTCCCTCAAATTTTTAGATAAAATATATTACTTTTCTTACTATTTTTCATTGCATTAGAACTACTAGGGTTAATATTTTTCCTGTCATATATCCAGACAGAAGATTTTGATCTCTACAGTCATCAGAACTTTCTTCCGTAAATAATTCTTTTGTATAATTTGCACATCCTTCACTACACTGGCCTCTTGTTTATATAAAACTGGTGTTAATTGAACAGCCAATGTCAACGGGAACATTAAAGTATCTTTAACGAAAAAAAAAACTAAAAATTGTATCTACAAAAACCAGTTTATACGATCACTAGTATTTTTAGGACGATCATTAAACAATTTAAAAGCTATTCTGTTTATTGTCAAGTGTCAATATTAAGATATGGTTTCAATATTTGTTTTTATTTTACCGATTTTCTTTTAATTTCACTTATTGTAAAAATTGATCTTTGCGATAGTTGATTAAAATTTTTATACGAATTATATTATGGATTCTAAAAGTGTTAAATATAAAATCATTAATTTTCATCATTTTCTTTCACTTTTACTTTTTTTAGTAGCAACTGGTTCGAGCTTCACTCCGAGCAGACTTTTTCAAACATTGTAGTATAAAATACAAATTGAATCTGCAACTTTCAGTTAAAGTTCATTGAAATCGAACAATAAATGAGTAGGTGAGAGATGGACTGTCATCCTTGGGTCAAAACGTAATCATAAAAATTCATATTAATTATAGGAAAACTAACTTATATATGTTATAATAATGTTAAAACTCTCATAACTTTTTTAAATTAAAGATTGTATATTTAACATCGTTCTTTTTATTTCAGGCTCCTGAACCAGTGGAATCATGGGAAGGAGTAAAAGATTGTACCAAAGAAGGATGGGAATGTCCCTCGTTAGATATATACTTCAAACACCACATTGGCAACGAAGACAATTGCCTTAATATGAATATATACACCAAAGAGGTAGGTCCATTGTATAGCCCTTCATTCCAATATTTTTCTTGAGTTAATATCGCTTTGGATATTAACTCCATGGTTAATTGTGGTTCTCTTTGACTCTGGTTTAGCTGTTCATTGTTTATCTTATCAGGACCAGGTGCTTTTCTGTTTTTTAATTTTTTTATTAGTTCTTGTAGCTCTTCTTTTGATATTAGTACTCTATCGTGGGTTTCGTTAATGATTATTTCTCTGTTCTCTTCTTCTCATTCTCCATATAATATCGTGAAATGCTCAGTCTATTGTTCCTCCTTAATGTTATCTATGCATACAAATTCATTCATTCATTTCTGTTTTTTGTCTCCTTATCATCTTTCACACCTTTTTCTGTGATCCATAGAGGTCGTATTCCATATCTTAGGTAAATTTTTCCCAGTGTTCTTTTTTGATGTTATCTATTTCTTGGTTTACTCTATTCCTGATTCTCACGTAATCTCGTGCCTCCGGTGTCTTCACCCCTTTGTATGTTAGGAAAGTTTGTTTCTTTTCATTGTTAAATTTCTGATTAACATAAAACTGTTCATTCCATATATATTTTAGATGCTTATCCTCCTTTTTCTCGGTTGATACCCTCCAGAATTTTTCACAATCTTATAGTCATTCCAGAGCGAGTTTCGTAAAGGTCGTCCAAAGTACTCTGTTGTGCAAAAGAACAACTGATTTACAACATCTATAATATTAGATTACTCAATTAATCAAGTTTAACTATTCTTTAGAATTAGTATCATTTGAGTGTATTTATCGTCATAAGAATATTGGTCCTTCGCAAAATGTGTTCTATTGATATTGTAATCTGTTATTTTTTAAGCTATTCAGTCACAAATTTCCTGATTTAAATAAAATAACAGGATGGCCTAACTCTCTTTATTCTTTAGTTCTATATCAAAGTACCTAAAAACTTTTCTGATAAAAACGTAACAACCATAGATTTTCAAAACCGGATGTCCTTCATCCACTTCAAAATTAGTGACAGCTGACAGATCTTCATTATTATATCTGAAATATGTTTTTAACTTTTACTCTTTTACCTGATTTATTTTTTATTTCGTGTTTTAGCTTCCAAGTCACAACCCGAACATGAAAAAGAAACCTGTTATGGTGTTCATCCATGGTGGAGGTTTCATGTATGGTTCCAATAAAAGCATGCACGTTGGTCCAGATTATTTAATGACTGGAGATGTTGTATTAGTGTGTATCAACTATAGATTGGGGGTTTTGGGTAAGTTCAATTTTGCTTATCTTAAGATTATTCTGAAGCTATCTTCTTGTGGTATCTTAATATAATTTAAAAAATTACTTAACCTTATAACATTCAAAAACAATCAATTATACAAATTAAAGAAAGCAAGTGGATAATTTAAGCTGATAATGTGTGTCTAAAAATACAAATGTAGTAAAAATACAAAATACAAATTTACTACGAAAATAATGTGTCCCCATTTTGCCTTAGACGGTTAGATGTTTTTAATTTGGTTGACCTTCCTTCATTAAATAGCTTAAAAAAGCTAAAGAAACCCCTTAAACGTGATATTCATAACAATTTTTAGTGTTGAGTTCTAACTGCAATGTCACTGTAATTTTTTAAATCTCTACCAATTGTGTATCTCTTAAGATGCAATTCAATCTCAATTATATGCAAAGCTAATTCCACAACCAGTAGGTTTCAGACCAGGTAAATCCTGCACAGGCCAAGTACTGAACCTAACAGAGTACTTGGAGAATGGATTTGAGGAGAGAGAAAGAGTGAGGCAATATCTGGGACATATCATGAATAATTTGAGAGCTTGGTTTAACTGCACTTCTACTGACCTCTTTAGAGCAGCGGCGTCAAAAGTGCTAATTGCCATGATGGTTTCCAACCTTCTTAGAGGAAATGGCACGTGAAGCAGAAGAAATAGTGAATGTAGCCTGGGTAGACCTCACGGCGACATACGATACAATAAACCATAGAACCCTGCTAAGATATATCAATATGCTTGACTACACTCTAGTAGAGAATATTAGGTCATCGCTATATGCAGATAGTGAACTCCAAGGGAGCGTTCTGGTTCCGTTCCTGTTTAGCATCTGCACAAACGACCAGTCAATGCAACCGGAAGCTGCGAGCATTGTTTACGCTGACGATCTTGGTATCGCTGTAAGAGGAAAAATCCTCGCACTGATAGAGTCGACAATAAAAGAGGCTTTAAATATGATAAAACCAAACTATGCTAAAACCCAAGTATCTGCATTCTATCCCAACACCCATCTGGCGCATGTAAAACATACTGAAGAAAAATAAATGAAAGCAGTTTCCTGCGGCTAATACTGACAAAAAATCCAATAGAAAAACGTTTTCTTGAAAAAATATCAAAAAATGAAGCAAAAAAAGTATCTCAAACTTTCTAATAATAAATTTTTAATAAGTGAAAGACAAAAATAAACAAAACGAATATTTTTCAAGCTTCTAAAGAGTCTAGCCTTACAAAACGCTGACCCATAAGTTACCAGATGTATATTACAAAAGACTGTCTTGTCCGTTGGATCGGCGTTTGTTCAAAATCCACATCGTACACCAATTCATTTTTCTTCTTACATCAAAACTATATCAAACATTTAAAAACCTTAACACCGGTCAACAAAATACACCAGTTAACCCTTTTAACCTCACTTACGATGACAATAACGTATACAATTGTTATGTTTTGATCAAATGTTTGCTGTGATATTGCATGCCATTAATCACATGAAATTGTTTCTATAATTACATACAAGTGAACTTAAATAGCTCTTGAGGTTATTCCTTTTATAATTAGAATATGTTAATGATAATAATATTATGTTAACTGAATACCTTGGACAATTTTCTAATAGCTGTGAAAAAACTGGGTGATTAAGAGATAATATCAGATATTATGAAATGGGTACTATTATCTCGAGGTCAGTCGATGGTGATTTTAAGCCTCTTTAATTGCATTTTACAAGATAGTGACTTCTTGTACTTGATATTATTTTTAGCTGCGATTTTCGAGTAAAAAAGTGAAATATGTAGTTGTATTTCTTTCTTTATGTGTGTTGTTTGGTCTCCCTGACATTGGCAGTCATTCTGTTCTTCCCCTCTACTATATTATTATTTGTAAGATACTAGACTAATTATCTTGAAGAATACGACCTAAAAGGGGAGTTTTTTATATTTCATGGTTGTTCAGAGTTCCAGAATAATGTTCCCGAGCCTATTGTAGGACTTCTTTATATAATCGGTTTTGCTGCATGGTAACTATAGCATTATCATGTGCGTCTATATCACTATCATATCTTTAGATTGATATTATAATAATTGTAGAAGGCAAATTTCATTTTAACCAAGGTTGAATGAGCCAACTTAATTATATGCCTGATTTCCTTATTAAAGTCCATTTGCGCCGTGACATAACATCCCAAATATCTTCACAGAATTCTTTATATCTACACAAAAGATTATTTACAAAAAGCAATCAGTATTTACCTTCTACATGATATTTTGCCAACTTTAGAATTGTTAATTTTATTTAAAATAGTGCTCTGAAGAAGTTTCTTCAATTATTAAAACCTTTTCTCTCTTATTTTTGATTTTCAATGATGATCAGTGATTTTGATTCTTTTGTTTTTCTTTTTGAGCAGTAGTTGAATAAGAACGTTGATGTGGATTTCTAATTTCTGGTTGTACTTAATATTTCATTTATAGATGATTTCTTGGATGGTGGGAAGTTCAAAGTCTTGATGAAAGCAGTGGTTTTTGATCTGCCTTGGTAAATTAGATAACGGTCATATACTTTTTGATTGTGTGTAATGAATGGTGGCAACCCTGGATTTACCAGCACACTCTTGTAGTTCTGTAGAGTGGTTCCATGTCGGTGTTTTTAAGATAGTAAATAGATAAAGCAGTAAACAGATAAAGCATAGAGCTGATCTTCCCTCATGTCTGATCATAAGACATCTATCTTCATAGTGCATTATTTCATCAATGAAGAACTTGAGCATAATATTCCTTTTTTAAGAACCTTTTTTAACTTGCTTTCATTCTAATTTATTCCTTATTATAGATACAATCTCAGTAGTTTTCGACCAGTTAGAGATTTTTGAGATGATAAATGATTCTTCCTTAGTTTCCTACAGACTGCTTTTATAGAAACATTTGTACAGAAACAGAATAGACTAACTTGTAAATGAATTATTAATTCTAGTAATAAAAGTGGCTCTCTGATGAGTGTATCCAGTACATATTTCTATTTTATCTAAATTTTAGTCGACTGGTATTAATAATGTTTTTATACAGCAATGTTTTATCTAATTAAGGACCTATTTCTACTAATGTCTTATCATTTCGCACTGAGGTCAAACTAAAATCGCAGCTTTTGTGATTGTCGACTCGGATCTAATATTATTGGTTTCAAAATCAAAATATAAATATCGAGCTTTTACTTATCTTTTCGGAAATAATATACTAAATATTTTTGTTTAAAAATAATAAACAACTATGAGAAACCCCATATTTCTTACATCCGTTATCAATCACAGTATGCAAAATTATTAATAATTGCATCAGATGTTTTTAGTGACAGATAATCTTGGAAACATAACCTTAATTCTTATCTGTGACCTTTTTCCATAAAACACTGAAGGGTATTTTTTCGTTACTCTGTATTCAGCTAAATCATAACTTCCTAAATTCTCTTTAAACATATCAATCATAGATTTATGACATTACTGTACAAAGTACACTACAAAATATAACATAAATAATAAATGTACTGTAATGAGAAAATAATTAAATAACACCTAAGATATTGTATTAATTTATAAGACCTCTAATAGATCTTAGTTTTCACATTCAAGTTTTAAGATTTTAAAATATTTAGGAGGTCTTAATGTGCCTACCGCTTCTCTTATATTACGCTCCATCCCATTCTGTTTCCCTACTCACTTTCTTTCTGGATTTTTTTGTGCATAACTTTTTTTACTCGTGCTTTTTCTTTTGCAATTCAAAAACGAGCAAAAAGACTTTAAAAACTGTATTGATATACAAATTTTTCTATCATACTTTTTTACTCTGATACCTCGTTTTTCTAAATTTATTTTTAGCTAATCTTTGTTATTACATATATTTATATAACAGTGAATCCGGCTCACAGGACCAAAATTATTGTAGGCCTTAAATTTTTTATACCCAATAAGCAAATTTATTCTTAAATTCAAACGAAATACTTAGGAGTTAGGTGATTTTCGTCATTTATATAATCAAATTAGAACTAAACCTAAAATATTTCCTTGAAAATGCACTATTTCATGTTATAATGATACTGAGAATCTAAAACTTAGATCGCAAAAATTGACTAACAGGACGAATACTTACTTCTATAATTTCTTTACAGGTTTCTTAAGTCTAGAGGACCAATCTTTAGGTGTGCCGGGAAATGCAGGCTTAAAAGATCAGACAATGGCACTAAAATGGATACAAAAACATATTGCTAACTTTGGTGGTGATCCAAACAACGTAACAATATTTGGAGAAAGTGCTGGTAGCGCCTCAGTTCATTTGTTGCTTGTTTCTCCACTTACGAAAGGTAAGAAACAATAAAAATGTATTTTACAATATAATACAAATATTTTCTTTTGTCTATAAACTAAAGTATTGTTTGTTTTTAGGCCTCTTCCATAAAGCGATTATGCAAAGCGGATGTGCTTTCAATCCTTGGGCTAAGGGAACAAGAAACTTCGCTGCAATTACCAAAGCTATGGGTTATAAAGATGTAGATGAGAAAACTTTGTTCCAAAAACTTTGTAGAGCCAGTACAAGGAGCTTAGTAACAGCACAGTTTAAGATAGAAGATGTAAGTACCAGAAAAATTAAAATAAGCTTTTAAATACGGGTGTCCTCTATGTTGGTAAATACGTAATTCAAAAATTTCACCATTTTGCTGTAATGTGTTCATAGTATGTACATTTTTAACATTGTTTTTTACTTTTTAGTCATTCTTCGCCAGTATTGTTCGCCCTTTCATCCCCGTTATAGAATACCCCCACGAAGGAGCCTTCTTAACAGAAGACCCAGAAGAAATAATGAAAGCTGGCCGACATCATCATGTCCCTGTCATAATCGGTTACAATTCCATGGAGGGTTTAATGTACGAAATAATTAGAAAAACGAGGACAGATGCAGACCTTCCTGAGACTCTTGAAAGGGACATTCCTTTTGACCTTAACATTCCAGAGAAAACAGAAAGAGCGAAAGAAGTTGCATTAAAAATGCAAAAGTTTTACTACCAAGATAAAGATCTTTCTGAGAAGAACATAAACAATAGATACAGGGTAAGCTACACATTATATAATTTACTGTTATTATCATGATCGTTTGTCAATTTTTATGATCCAACACTATATTTTGACCGCTTTGGTCCTGATAGACCTCTGATAAAGATAAAAAATCACAAAAATAAATAAAAGTTAGACTCTTATCATGCTACCCTCCTTTTCCAAAGCAAAGGACTTTTCAATTAACTGTCCACGCGACAAGTTCCTAGTCATTGCTCGTTACCCTCGTTTTTAACTCTAGTTGAGCTTTCTTTTCTCTCACTGTAGCTTGCTTTAGATATAACTCGATAATAATAACGCGTACATCGTTCCTTCCAGTTCGCTCCCGTCCCTGTTACTAAGTCCATGACATAAAATATCAGCAATATGACCTTTCCACCGTGGATAAACTCGCGTCCAAAGACATGTTTTGTTCTTATTAAGACTTTCTTCGGTCTTAATAAGAAAATTACAGTTTACTATACTATTTGAAAAATATTCATAAATATGTTTGTTTCAGATGGTAAGCGATGTGCATTTCCTCTACGGCATCCAGAAAACCATCACCTTACTTCAGCGCCACAGCAAAGCTCCAGTATACGTTTACAGAATGAGCATCATCAGTAACTTAAACTTCTTCAAAAAATTCTGCGAAGTAAAATATTTGAAAACAATGCTTGCTCTTTCGTTGCTTACAAAACTATCAGGAGGATCCAGTATGAAGAACGTCTTCCAAAACCTAAGAGAAAAACTTCCTATTAGGCAAATAGAGGGCGTCTCTCACGCTGACGATATCTTCTACCTATTCAGCACTTTCCTAGCGCCTACCATTACTAAGGGAAGCGCGGATGATAGAAACATACAAAAATTCGTGAAGCCTTGGACAACTTTCGCCAAATGCGGTAACCCTACACCAGAACCAACGGAACTGCTCGATAATGTATTGTGGAGTCCTGTTAAAGACGAGAGTATTTCCAATATTTTTGATATTAATGATAAAGTCAGTATTACTGGTAATATTGAAGGAGAAAGGGTACAATTCTGGAGAGATCTATATGCGGAATGTTGTGGTACAGCCTAAAAATTTCTTGTCGAAAGTTTTAGTTGATAATGCAAAAATGTGATTTATATAGGTAGGAATAGATTGATACGATATTTGATTGGCGTGTTTGTAGTTTATTGTTCAAACATCACATAACTATGCGATGTTTTTAGGTGTATCAAAATCAATATTTTACATTTACCATCCTGAAAAATATGAATCCATTTACATAAAACGATTTAAAGGCAGTATTAAAAGCTAATGCCTTGTTTTTCATTTTTGATAGTCAATGCATGCAGTATATTTTATTTCTTGTAGAAATCTGTTCAATTATTTATTTTAATGCATCTCTTTTATACTAGAACTGGTTTGGTTAGTCTAATCGGTATTCGTCCTTAGTTTCAAATGTAGAGTGCATAATTCTTCTGACCTAAATACATGTACTTGTACACTCGACAAGTACTTTAAGTTGTTCTTTATATGTAAAGTATATTGGAACATTGAAAGCATGTATTGAATACGAAATGATACATCATTGTTGTATCCTAAAACAGATGAGTGTAACTTAAGCAATTTTTTGTCAAAATGTGATATGTTTTTGCTGAGTTGTTTGTAAGCTACAAGAGATTATTACTTGTATTTGAAATATTAAAGATCGTCTATTGTCTATATGTAGTATCGTAGATAATATTGAAAGTATTAATAGATAGGTCAAATGTATTTTAAATAGTTTTAAGATTTGTAAAATTAAGTTATACATATTTATGTTATTTATTTCATTAAAACAACATTTTTAATAAAATAAAAGTAAATTCTAATATATTAGTTTTTCTAAGAGACCTTATCTAACCTAACCTAATCCAACCTAACAATATACACCGGATTCTATGTGTAGAAATTCAGCAAGACAACAAAACTTACTTGGAAGACCGAAAACTTTAAACGTTAATTTAGAAAGTGTTTTGATAAGAAAACTTAACTATGGAAAAGCTTTAACTTAACTCCAAATATAGGGTCAGCTTACAAACTAATACTGGCAAATGTTTAGGTCACTAATACAAAACCACACAAATTCTTTGAAAAACAAACGTGATGTCCCTAGAAGACTAGAATATAAAATGGTTGTATGAAAAAGGGCTGTATAAAAAAAGAGCAAGAACTGTAAACGAGATATGGACAAAAATACAATATAACATAATGCAAGCCGCAAAAACTTGGTTATTTTCCTTCATTTTTTCGGTTCCTTGCTTTTTCTCTCCAATTTTTCACGCCTATTTCTGACAAGTCTTGTTTTACTGCTTCAATTCATTTCTTCTTTATACTTCCTCTTCTTTTTCCCCATTTATACCTCCTACAGTATTGTTTTAACATTTCGATTTTCTAGCATTCGTATAAAGTGATCAAGCCATTTAGTTCTTTGGGTTCGTATTTTTGATAGACAGAGTTAGTTTCTCGCATTACTTTTCTTCATTTTCTTGCTAATTCTCATTTCCCTTAAGTTCCTCTTGTTTGTTCTGTATCTAGTATATATTCGAAATACTTCGCCCATCTGTTTAATGTTTCTGGTGTTTCTCCTAATAGAAGTAAGCCTTCTTTGTTTCTGCAATACTGTGGATTATTCTTTGTAGTTTTTTTGGATTTCTTAACTTCCTAACACATTCCTACATTCTTCATCGAACTAGTCTAGCCGTCTTTTTATATGCTCTCTTCCTCTAAACACTTTTTCGCTGCTTCCGACATGGCTGTCAGTATGGTCTGCCACTCTTCATCTATATCCTGTTTGACTGGATTATCTAGTTTTTTATTTATTGTTTCCTCTAGTCTGTTTACAAACTTGCTTATCTTGAAGGCGCTCTAATTGGTAATTTAATGTATCTCTAACAGGTTTTGGAATTATTGGTAGTTCTTGTTTTCGTTCTGCTATTATAAGTGTATGGTCACTATTGGTATATGCCGCTCTGTAACTCCTGCAATCGATTATTACCTTATCATGTTTGCTTTCAATTAGGACATGATCTATCTGATTTTTTACTTTTCCATCGGGAGAATTCCATGTTACCTAATGAATGTCTTTGTGATCAAACCTTGTACTAGCTATCTTCATTTTGTTCCCTGTGGCAAATTCTATTAACTAAGTCTTTATCTTCAGTAAGCGCATATACCTTAATTATACTTATCTTCCTATACTTTCCTCTTACTCTCAAGTAACATTCTGTCAGGATGTATTTCCTTGGCATCTATGATATGACCGAAAAATTCTACTTTAGTTTCGAAAAACTTACATTTATTTACATTAATTTTTACATCCTGGTCATGTAAACGCTTCAACACTTTTCTGACTTCCTAGTAAAAATCTATAAGCTACACATACTAAAATGTCATCTAAGTAACATTCAGCATTTTGTAACCCTGCCAAAATGCTGTCCATCACTGACTCAAAAATACCTGGTGCTGAGCTGATACCATGTTAGTCTAGTGAAGGCAACTAAGCCTATATAGGTGTTTATTACAAACATTTGTTGTGTATATTTACTGATCTTTAGCTGTTGATAAGCACCTAAGAAGCCAGATCCATATTCACTAAAATGAAGAGAGTGTTCTGCGGAAAAGATTTGAGCCTTGAAATGAAACTTCGTCTGATGAGATGTTACGTACTTTCTGTGCTGTTCCACGTAATGGAGTCATGAACGTTGAAAAAGATTGATATCAAAAAATTAGAGGTATTTGAACTGTGGATGTATCGCAGAATCCTGAGAACATCATGGACTGAGAGAGTCACAAATGTCGAGGTCTTGAGAAGAATGAATAAAGAAAAGGAAGTCATATTTACGATCAAAAAACGAAAACCGCAATACTTGGGACACATTACAAGAGGCGAAAGATATGAACTGCTTCGAATAATTACCTACGCAAGGGAAAATAGCAGGAAAAACGTCCATAGGAAGAAGACGAAACTCCTGGCTAAAGAATATATGGGAATGGTATAGCCGTAGCAACAACGAATTGTTTCGGTCAGCAGTTTCGAAAATAAGTATAGCCCTGATGATCGCCAACCTTCAGAACGAAGATGGCACTTGAAGAAGAAGAAGCACCTATTAAATCTAGAACAGTAAAATGTTTATGTCCGCTTAGACATGCGAAAATATTTTCTGGTAGTGGTAAAGTGCAATGATCACTATCTAAGTTTTTGTTTAATATTTTTTTTTAAATCTACACAAATTCTTATTCCTCAGATGATTTTTTTACTACTAACTACTACTACTACTTTAACTACTACTATAGTACTGGCCCAATTATTGTAACTGACTTTTTGTAAAATTCCTAACTGCACTAGTTACTATAATAATAGTATGTTTGCTAACACTACCTTTAACTGTCATGTGTGTTCAATTAACTCATAGGACTTGTGTATTATAACTTGTTTTAATTTAGCCTGTCAGTCAAAATTTTATAAATATAAGCATTTAACTATGTTACTACGTTACGACACTGATATCTACAATGATCTATTCATTAAACCAAATCTTATCGCGATTTTTATCCACTGACATCAATTTATTAATCTCGTTAAAACTACACCACTGCTTGAGTCACTCGCGAGTATAGTCCAAGGTTGCCGTGTTCTACTCGATAAAAATTAAACTTTGATTATTTGAGTGTTTAATTGTGATGATTTTTAATTGAATTTTCCTGCTTAGTACTGTTTTGTAAGATGTCTGGACCAATAGTGACTGTACAAGAAGGTAAACTGTTGGGAATTCAACAAAAGGATGATGACGGAAACCAGTTTTACAGTTTTCTTGGAATACCATATGCGAAACCGCCAATAGGAGAACTGAGATTCAAAGTAAGTAGGAAACGAATAATCACGTGGTTGCTGTATTAATAAATGAGATGTTGTAATTGTTGCAAGGTCATCGCTGTTGTCACGATTACAAGAAGTTTTTGACATTTGTTTATTTTATATGTAAATATTTTTCACTACAAGGATTGAGGTTTATTTTTTATGTCTATATAAAAATAATATGACCATATTTTTCGTGATTTTTCTATACCACTTGTGCCTGTTGAATTGTAATTAAATATCTCGTGCTTGCGTAAAAGTACCACCATAGTTCTATAGAATTTAATGTTAGTATATTTTCTTTTTTATGATGATAGTGTTCTGTATATATCTTAAATTGATTTGTTATATCGTCTGTGTATGGTCTCATGGAACAGAGTTGTTTAGTATGTATTTTAATATACCATTATGCTGCCCAGTTCAACTGAATTTTACTATAACCTAAGCCCATAAAATATTCACAATTTCGTTATTTTTACTACATTTTACTACTCAACCAGGTATCTAAAAATGTTATAATAACTGTCAATTCAATTGGAAAATAAATTAGATAATTCCTTCTATTGACGATCTTACAAAATCTGCGAGAAAACTCTACCCCAACAGAGCCTCGGTAGTTACGTCATCTCGGTTATAACGTCAATTTTTAATAGGTTCGGTCAAAAACTATTCCATAACGTTATTAAAAACCCGGTTTTGTCGGCTAAAAATAAACTAACCTTCGGTTGTAGCGTCATAAAATTTTATAGTAGGTTATCCTTTTTTTATTTTATGAAGAATAAAGTGCAATGCGTTTCTGGCTTTGCGGCATTTGTTCCTTCCAAGAATGTAAGAAAGATCCATTATCCCTGCTGTGTACAGTTATGTTACCCTGACAATCTATAATTTCGCATTTATCAGTGCCGTCCTAACACTCCTAACAGTCAAATTTTCTGTTTCGGAACAGTCGGTTTAAGAAATTTTCGCTACCGTGAAATTGTGTTCGGATCGTTTTGTTTTTTTTTTTTTTTATTTTAATGTGGTAATTAGCTTTTATTTTTTAATATGGCAAGTTGTAGCACTAAAAGGAAGGTTTTGCCTATTAAAGAAAAAGTGCGTGTTATAAGAGCATTTGAAAGTGGTCGAAAAATTGCTGATGTATGCCGGCAATTTGGACTTGTTAAATCGACTGTCGGCTCAATCATAAAAAAACAAAGACAAAATTTTAAAAGCCTTTAAAGAGGACGGAAACAATGTTAAAAAGATTAGGAAGTGCATTCGTGGTGATGTAGATTCAGATCTACTCAAATGGTTCAAGCAGTGTCGCAGTTCTGATATCCCTGTGTCCGGGCCACTTTTAAAGGAGAAAGCTACAGAGTTCGGAAAATTGTTTGGTGAAGATTTCACATGCTCTAACGGCTGGTTAGATCGGTTTAAAGCCAGGCACTCAATTTCCTTCTCGAAAATTGTTGGAGAGGCAAAATGTGTGGACGAGAACGTAACAAGTGACTGGTTACAAAACACATGGCCACAACAAAGGCAACCATACAAAGATGAAGATATCTTTTATGGTGACGAGACAGGTGTCTTTTATAAATTAACGCCAGACAAAACTTTAAATTTCAAAAATCAAAAATGTGTCGGTGGAAAACTTTCCAAGCAAAGAGTGACGGCTTTTGTTTGTGCAAATATGACAGGTACAGAGAAAAGAAAGCTTTTGGTTATTGGAAAAAGTTTACATCCTAGATGTTTCAAAAACATTAAAACACTACCTGTAAACTACACAGCCAATAAAAAAGCATGGATGACTTCTGCTATTTTTGAAGAAGAATTGAGAAAGTGGGACAAGGAACTCTCTTTCAAAAAAAGAAAAAGTCTTCTCCTAGTTGACAACTGTGCAGCCCATCCCAAACTTAATTTGACCAATATAAATCTAGTGCTCTTACCAGCCAACTGCACGAGTGTCTTGCAGCCTATGGACCAGGGAGTCATAAGAAGTTTAAACTGCCATTATCGAAAACAGCTTTTAAAAAGAATGATTTTTTGTATGGATAATGGAGAACCTGCGAACATTACCATCCTGGATGCTGTTCAGTTTTTAGACAATGCGTGGAGTGCGGTTACGTCAGTGATAATTCATAAGTGTTTTCGTCAAGCAAAATTGACTGTAGCTTCTCTCAATGTTGAGGACGTTGATAAAGATGACGAAATGCCTTTGTCAGAGTGGATACAAAAATTTAATGTGAATCAGGGAGCGTTCGGAACTGATCTTGACTCCTACATTTCAGTAGACGATGAGGTGGAAACATTTCAAGTCCTAAGTGATAAAGAAATTGTTGAACTGGTGCAAAACGTGGAAATGGATGTCGATGAAGCTGAAGAAGAAGACGACATCGTTGCTTGTCCTACAATCCAAGAAGCAATGAGAGCTGCTAAGACCATATCCAGGTTTTACCAGTTCAGGGAGGCATCCACAAATAAAAAAGAAGCAGCTCAGCTTATTAAGGAAACAACAGAAAAACTTTATTTTTCGGAAAGGGTTGTGCAAAAGAAAATAACGGACTTTTTCAGCAATAGAACTTTTTTACACAATGTAAGTTTCATATACATAGATAATATGTTTTGTTTTTTAATTGTTTTTTATCCTAAAATGATTCTTGTTTTTTTTTAAATTTGACTTAAGTAAATGTTATATTTTCGGTATATCGTAAACTATGTTAAATCATCATGTTTAGGCCCAGAGTAATTAACAAATTATATATACTACTATACCCAATAATGCTGTAATAATATTTTCCCTCATTAAAATTTTATTTTTCTCAACCTCTTTTTTAACGTCACTCTGATATAGCGTCATTTTTTTATTGGACCCTTCAATGACGCTATAACCAAGTTCCACTGTAGTTATAAAAATATAAATGTATGTACCTTTAAAAATCATACGATACGATTTATTTCTTGTCTATCGAAAAGAGAAAGAAGATATTTTTATTAAAAGATTAACGTAATTAATATTAATATAAATTTTAAATGCATTAATTATATTTATTTATTCATTATTCGTTAATAATTATTACATTTTTATTTTAAGACGTAAGTGTATGTATGTAAATATTATTTCCAAAGTTCACTTACCTGCTTTTAAATGCATCTCTTCAATCAAACGACGACGACTGTGCGAGAAAAAGGAACACGATTTGAGGGTTGCGACATGGAATATTCGAACCTTATATAGATTGGAAATTTCCAAAATCTCCTAAATGAACTAGACATATACAAAATAGACATAATTGCCATACAAGAAATGAGGTGGGTTGGAAACAATGTTATGGAAAAAAGAAGCCATACGATTTTCTACAACTGCGATCCTAAAGATCACGTCTTGGGCACAGGATTCATAGTAAACAAGCCAGTAAAGCATACTATAAGAGATTTCAGAGCCATTAGTCCAAAAATGTGCATTATAAGAGTTAAAGGTCGTTTCTTAAACTACAGTCTAATTAATTCGCATGATCCGACAGAATAAAAAGAAGAGGAAATTAAAGAAGAGTTTTATGATGAACCAGGTACACAAAGGTACCTGGAAATCCCCAGATGGGCTTACAGTAAATATGATACATCATGTCATTGTAAACTCGAGACCCCAATCGAATATAATGAACGTCCGCACCAGAAGAGGGGCAAATGCGGATTCTGATCACTACCTGGTCGAAAGTGGAGTAAGGGCTAGAATTTCAAACATCAAAGAGGAAAGAGGCTCTAAACATGAACGATACAAGGTAGAAGGACTCAAAGAAACAAACAAAAGTAAAGAGTAATGAGAAAAGATAAACAACAAACTAGAAAACAGACTAACGCATGAAAACCTAAATAAGGAGTGGGAAGAATGTAGAGACATCATAAAAGAGGCAGCTAAAGAAGTATTAGGCATAGAAGGAAGAGAAAGAAAAACAAGAAAGAATAACTGGTTTGACGAAGAATGTGAGATTATAACATACAGCAAAGACAGAGCTTATTTACTGATGCAACAGGGGCAAAGAACCCGACAAGCAGAGGAAGAATATAAACAACTACGCAAAGAAGAAAAGAAACTCACCGAACAAAAAATAGAGAATATATGAACAAAGAACTTCAAGAATTACAAGAACTAATTAAATTAACAGAGACTAGAAAATTTTATCAGAAACAGAACAAAAGCAGAAAAGACTTCAAACCGAGAACAACCGAGATAGAAGACAACAATAGACCAGATATTTGTTCTGCGACAAATCCTCGAAAAAACAAATGAATATAACATCGACACACATCATCTCTTCATAGACTTTGAAAGCGCATATGACAATAAAAACCGAGAATTCTTAATAAAAGCAATGAAAGAATCTCTAAATCTCTAAAAGTAGAAAGTAAAACTTGGATACAAAACGAATTAACGGAAACAATAGATGTGAAAAAGGGACTACGCCAGGGATACGCTCAATCATGCATATCGTTCAACATCGTACTCTAGAAAATAGTGAGGGACACAGCAGTCCCTCGGAGGAATTTGCCGAAGAAGATACAACTTTGAACTATACAAAATATACCAGGATCCGGATATTATAACATTCATTAAAATAGGACCGCTGCGTTGGATAGGACATGTAGAGAGAATGGAAGAAGGCGAAATACCAAACAAAATATTCAAACAGATGCCAGTAGGAAAAAGAACAAGAGGAAGACTGAAGCTTTGATACTTAGAACAAATAGAAAATGATATAACAACCTTGAAAATAAAAAACTGGAGGAAAAAAGCACACAAAATAGATCAGAATGGAGAAGAATCCTGGAACAGGGCCAAGACCCAAAAAGGGTTGTCGAGCCAGTGACGATGATGATGATCAATATTGCGTTGTCTGCATACTTTTTGCTCTGTTTACGTAGATAAAAGACATTAAAATAAAAGTAGATGACTGAATTTCTTCTCAATTCAATCATCGTCCATTAATATACTTTGGAGTTATTCCTAATTCACTATCGAAGAGAAGTCTCCTGATCTCTTCTTGCTTCATGTAGAGGTCGCTCCTAGCGTACTAAAGCGTGTTATATACTTTAACAGTCAAATCTCTCTCTTCAATCCTGACCCCCCAGGGGGAGTGTAGTGGTCGACGTGATGTCGTGTATTGTCCGTCTCCAGAGATCTCTGTCTCTGGTCATTTCGTTTAATTCATGCATAGGTCTTTGGCATATTCCTGTAATTTGATCTATCCATATTGTTGGGGATCTTCCTCATGATCTTCGGCCTTCTACCTTTCCTTGTATTATGAGTCTTTCCATGTTTTCTGTGTTTGCTCTCATAACATGCCCAAAATATTTTAATTGTTGGAGATGGACTTTACTAGAGAGTCGTTGGCTAACTTTTAGCTCTCTTAAAATTAAATTATTTGTTCTACGGTCGGTCCAAGGAATACGTAACATTCGTCTCCAAAAGAACATTTCAGTGGCGTCTACTTTTCTTCTCTCCGATTGTCTCAGAGTCCAAGATTCACATCCGTAGGTCAGTATTGGGAATATTAAGCAGTTGACCAACCTCATCTTTATCGCTTTTGAAATTTGACAGTCCTTCCATATTTTGGTCATTTTTGCTATGGCAACTTTTGCTAGATCACATCTACGTTTAATCTCTTCTTGTAATGACCCTGTGTTTGTGATTAATGATCCCAGATATAAGTATAAACTCACAACCTCGAACCGGTCAATTATGGTTATGTGTGGATGATTGTTGTGTAGTCTATCCACTATCATGATCTTTGTCTTTGATATGTTTAATTGCAGACCAAATATTTGACTTTTGTTTTCAATCAGTCGTATAAGTTCCATCAGCTCTGGTGACTATTTGCAAGAAGGGCTGTGTCTTCTGCGAAACGTAGGTTGTTTAGTTTATGACCATTTATTGAGATGCCCCTTTCCCTTCAAGTGCTCTTCGCATAATATACTCCCCATATATGTTGAATAATTGTGGAGATAGTATACATCCTTGTCTGACACCCCGTTCTGGATGAAACTCGTTCGAAAGTGTGTCAAGTACTTTAACTGATCCAGTAGTGTGTTCATATAGTTCAGTTATAAGCGTAATTAGATGTTGTGGTACGCCTACTTCTTTTAGTATTCGCCATAAGTGTCTATACTTGACCCTGTCGAACGCTTTACGGTAATCTATAAAACAGATGTATAGTGGGATGTTGAATTTCCTAGATTTCTCGATTATCTGTCTTATATTCAGCAGGTGTTCTCGAGTGCCTCCACCTTTGGTAAATCCAGTTTGCTCTTGTGGAATTTCTCTTTGAAGGAATGTTTTCAGTATCTCATTGATTATATGTAGCATTATCTTGCTGGCATGGGATATAAGAGAGATAGTTCTATAATTGTCGCATTTATGGAAGCTGCCTTTTTTATGTATGGTTGTTATTGTAGATTTTGTCCAGTCTTTAGGCCATTGTTTGGAATGCCATATTTGGTTACAGAGTAGACTTTACGCCGGTTTCTTTTGTGGCGCTAAGCATTTCTGCTGTTATCATATCTGGACCTGGTGCTTTGTTATATTTGAGCTTGTTGATAGCCTGTCTTACTTCATTTTCGAGTATATCAGGTTCTTCTTCCACCTCGTCAGAGATTTGGCTAACAAGCTCTTGGCGTTGATCATCTTTATATAGGTCCCTGCAATATGATCTCCATGTCTCTGCTATGTCTTCTCTGTTTGTTCTCAGGGTTCCAGTGTTATCTTCAATGGCCCAAGTTCTGGCTCTGAAGTCTCTTGTCAGGTAGCGTATTTTTCTAAATAGATCTCTCGGCTGATTATTCTGACCATGTCTCTCAATTTCTTTGCATATACTTTGATAGTACTGTTTTTTGTCGGCCTTACATCTTCGTTTTATTTCTTTATTGAGGTTTCTTAAACTAGCTTTTTCCCTTTAACTATGTACACCACTTTTACAGTCAAACTTAAACTTCTTAAACTAGCTTCTTAAACTAGCCTTTTTTCCTTTCACTATTGTACACCACTTTTTACACAACAGTCAAATAGCTGAGATTAATTCATTTCAATCCAAGTTACCACAAATATTCCTGATGAGAGCTGAATAGCTCGAAAATGTAAAAAAATTTCTTACTTTTAATATTTTTCCGTTTTATGAATGTGGTGAGTGTTTCTTAGTGCTAGCAAGTAACATAAATAACACTAAATTTTTTTAGGCTCCACAACCCCCTGAAAAATGGGAAGGAATTCGAGACGCCACCAAAGAAGGAAACGAGTGTTTTTCCAAACAATTTCAAATGTATACGGGATCGGAAGATTGTCTTATTCTTAATGTGTTTACTAAAGAGGTAAGAAATATATGACTTTTTTAATAATATATATCAAATGTTAATAGCAGGATAACAAACGAAGACATCAGGATAAGAACCGGAGTGACTGACATCATCCAGAAGAGAGCCAGACTAAAATGGAGATGGGCAGGACACATAGCCAGAATGACAGATGGGCGATGGACAAAGAGGTTATTGGAATGGAGGCCAAGGGAAGACAAGAGAAGCGTCGGTCGACCACCTACAAGATGAACTGACGATTTAAGAAGACTCAATAAAAACTGGATAAGAGCGACGCAAGATAGACGGGGTTGGAAACATGAGGAAGAGGTCTATGTTCAGCAGTAGAGCCTTGAGGCTGGATGATGATGATTAATAGCAGGCTATTATTTTTATAAACTTAATTCAGTAATGTTTTATTTGTATATAATGAAAATCAGTTATTATAACATAATACAGTTATGTTATACATAATACAGTTATGTTATGTTACATAACGGTTATAATAACAAATGCTCAGTGTAAAATACCAATATAACAAAAACACTAGGATCATTTAAGTATATAGGAGCAGAATTGGCACATTTACGTGCGGTATGGCAAAATAATGCTTTAAATATTTTAGATGAAGCAGGTAGAAAGAACAATAAAGAAGGATCAGTAACCAGATGATCTGATATAGTGGAAACCTGCTAAAAATAGATACAAATGATGACAAGAAACTAAAAGAAAGCATGGAAACATTCATATCACAAGAACTGCAGGCGGAAATAAAACTGAAGAACCTATGTCCTATCATAAAATGGAAGGAAGCTTTTCAAGACGGTTCACAGTGAATAGAGGTTTAAAACAAGGGGATCCGCTATCAACGAATTTATTCAACATAGTATTAGAACAAATCAAATAAGAAAGAAGATCAAATATAAGCACAAACAGAACTATTTTTCAATAGTAAGGAACAGTGCATAGCGTACGCGGATGATGTGGTGCTACTAGCGAGAACAAAAAAAATTTAGAAAAAGTTTTCCAGAAATTTAAAGAAGAAGCGAAAAGACACGGATTAATAGTAAACCAAACAAAAACACAATATATGTATAAATGAGAGGAAACAACAAATAATAACAAATATATCACAATGAAAGGAGCAGAGACTGTCTATTGTTTTGAAAAAGTGTCAGAATTTGAATACTTAGAAGTAACCATAATGAACACGATAAAAGAAGAAAAATAGATAGGCAAAAGATTAATGAAGGGAAGCAGAGCGAAAGAAAAGAAATTAGAGATCTGGAAAAGAAAGGTGCTTCGGAAGAATGAAGACGGCAGAGAATATTTGGAGAAGACGAATGAATAAAGAAATAATGAGGATATATGGAAAACCAGCAATTACGACAAAAAACGAGCCCAAAGAGCTAGATGGCTTGGTCACATTATAGGAATGCCAGAGAATCGAAATGTTAAAACAATACTGAAAGAAGGAGAAATGGAAAAAGAAGAGGACGTCCAAAGAAGAAATGGTGGACGTCCAAGAAAGAAATGGAAACAGTAAAGCAAGACTTGTCAGAAATAGGTGTGAGAAATTGGAGAGAAAAAGCAAGGAACCGAAAAAAATGATGGGAAAAAACCAGGTTTTTAAAAGCCAGAGGTTTACAAGCACTGTAGCGCTGTTATATGTATATAACTCTTAAAAAAGTTGAATGTAGAGTACGAATTCAGGGGGAACTGGGAAGTCTGAACCTTTTAGAACAAATAACGACTGCGCGATGGAGACCCTCTCTCTTGTATGCTGTTCAATCTGGCTTTAGAAAAAGTAATACGTATGACACAAATCACAGCCACTGGTTCAATATATAATAAATCAATGTTAATCCTTATCTATACTGATGATATCAATATTGTTGGGAGAACGGAAAACGATTTACGAGAGGCATACGTAGCATTAAAAGAAGCCAGTTCAGCAAGGATTTTTGCTTATGCTAGGAGATATGTTGTGGAATGCAACTTTTAGATACCCTATGTCTTTCTTACAACTTTTTTATCGTCTGTTTTGCTTTGTAATTTATAGAAGACACAGATTAAATTAAAATCTGAATTTTGGTTTTGTCTACCAAGAAATCTTCGCATTTTTACTATGGTGTTTTAACGAAAAGCATTTTTATTTTAAGCATGTCATGTGAAATGATAAAAATATCGTCTACCATATGATTAAATCTAATGCAGAAGCAGACGAGGTCGACAGTTGAAAAAATTAACGCAGTTAACCTTTCGGATCGGCCGTTAAAATTATTTGGATCAATGTGATTGCGAGCATACAAAGAGGATGAGCACTAGAAGACGAAAAAAATAAATTCTGTTAGAAACCTTAAATTAAAAATCGCTCCAATGTTCGTGGTAAATTTGCTAAACTTGACTTACTAAGGTTTTCAATGGTTTCAGATCTCAAGTTCTAAATTAAAGCCTGTCATGGTTTGGATCCATGGAGGTGGCTTCACGAAAGGCTCAAATACACTGAAATTATATGGTCCAGACTATCTGCTAAGAGAAGATATAGTATTAGTTACAATTAATTATCGTTTAGGTCCTTTAGGTAAGTTATTTATTATCTATATGTTTTTGTTTCGTAGAAATTATATTATATTACAGTCTAGTATTTGGCCGTTATAATAAAAATAACATGCCTGGTACGCTATCAGTACTAAGCAACAAGAAGTCGAGAGAAATTTCATATATTTTGTACTTTTTAGGATTCATGGCTTTTAAAGATCCAGATGTAGGTGTACCAGGCAACGCAGGTTTCAAGGACGCTGTAATGGCTTTAAGATGGGTCCAAAATAATATTAAACAATTCGGTGGTGATCCAAATAATGTGACAATATTTGGCGAGAGTGCTGGAGCAGTTGCTGTTCATCTCTTAGTACTTTCACCAATGGCCAAAGGTAAAGATTTCTTATTAATTTACGATAAATTGAACAATTAAATAAGATAATAAAAGAGTACATCGGTTGAACATATTTCTTGATGTCCTATTCCAATCTCCATTTCATAGTTCGTCTTTTTCTCATCTCTTTATTAACTCTTTTTCGTCAGTTCTTTCTTTTCTTTTTTTTTTCACAATATATTTTAAAATCATTCCTGTTTCGAGATATAATCTTGTTTCTATGAGCTATATGGTTTTAAAGTCTATCACTAGGGTGTTAACCTGGCTATAGATCCCCTCCAGAGATGAGACTACTGAGAAGAATTATAGGAACTACGCTGTTAAATAAGTTTAACAGAGATTTCTTCTGGTCCATAGGAACTGTCAACCATTAGCAAATTTAAAATACCACCGTCAAGTCACCATAAACTGAAAAATGTATTCTTCTTCACAAAGTATAATCTAAAAGAACAGAATGAGAGATTTGTTATTTACGATGTTTTATAATTAACATATTTGTAGGTTTATTTCACAAAGCCATACTCCAAAGTGGATGCGCCACAAGCTGTTGGGCAACAATGAACCGTATAGAACCCAATCTATTTGCTGAAAGAGCTGGAATTCACTCCAATGACGATAAAGTAATACTCAAACACCTACAAAATATGACGTTGGAAGAACTTGAGGAAGCAATGGAAAAGACACCGGAGGTAAGCTTTTTATGTGGCTCAATAAAAATGCTCTATATGTGTAATACTCCCCAATTATTTTTACTGTATATGCTGAATATATAATCCGATCTTCGCTAGCAGAACGTTCGAAAGGAGGAAGAATAAATCGCATTGAAACAAACAATAAAAAGTATGCAGATAATACGGTGATCATAACAGAATTTATTGCTCAGATATATAAGGGACTTAAGGAAAGGCTGAACTCTATAGACTTTTTGGTGATGCAGATAGTGAAGACCATCAAAATAAACCGCCTAAGGTGAGTGGGCCACGTTATGCGGATGGATGAGAGTGATCCCACTAAAATAACCATGCTAAAAAGGCCAGTCGGAAGAAGAAGAAGGGGGCGACCTAAACTCAGATATCTGGACGATGTACAGGGAGATCTGAGGGAGATTGGAGTGAGGGGCTGGAGAAGACAGACACTTGATAGGGAAGGATGGAAGAATGTTTTGAAGCAGGCCAAGGCTCACGAAGGGCTGTAGCGCCAACTGATGGTGAAAGGAAAGGCTCTTGTACATGAAACCCACAATAGACAAGATTTTTACATACTGTTAGCCAATTTCGGTAGAGACGGTACATAGGAGGCAGTGGATTATATTATTATAAAACAATATTAAAAGAAATACTACTATAATTTGAAATAAAATGAAAAGATATAAATCTAGATACAACAGATAAGGTAATAGCAATAAGGATCAAAGAAATAAGAAAATCCGTAAAATAGTTTCGAAACACAATTCAGATTTCTGCTTATAATCTGAGCCTTCTAAAAATTGCAAGGCAAACAGACGTTGATAAAAGATGTTAAAAGAGACATGGGGAATCTAAAATTTGCATTCCACGACATGTCTTTTACAACTAAGCAGAAATCCTTAGCGAATTGTGCTTCTAGTACTCACACAGAGTAAATCCGAATAAAATGAAAAAAGGCAGCAAATATTTGATTTCACGCAAACAAATCCTATTTATCTGTTGATACGTATTTCGACCTAATAGGTCTCGTCAGATCAGCTATTCATAGGAGTTCTTAACGTGAAAAATCAATATTTTCTGCCTTTTAAGAAGCAACAATAACATGGCTTCAATAATCAATACGAACTCGCTAGCGACATCTAATTAGATTTCTGCTTATAATCTGAGCCTTCTAAAAATTGCAAGGCAAACAGACGTTGATAAAAGGTGTTAAAATAATTTTAACATCTGAATTGTGAATCATACCTGAATTGTGTTTCGAAACTATTTTACGGATTTTGTAATTAGATGTCGCTAGCGCGTCCGTATTGAAGCCATGGTATTGTTGCTTCTTAAAAGGTAGAAAATATTGATTTTTCACATTAAGAACTCCTATGAATAGCTGTTCTGACGAGACCTATTAGGTCGAAATACGTATCAACAGACACATAGGATTTGTTTGCGTGAAATCAAATATTTGCTGCCTTTTTTCATCAAAGAAATAAGATTGAAAAGAAAATGAAAAATCAGAAAACCTCAGGATCTAGAAATATGTCTAAGATTTTTTTTAAACGGACCAGCAGTTCTACCCTAAATTAGGTCTCAGATCTTTAATAAATGTCTCATACAACAACAAGGCATTTTAGTAAATAGAAGGTTCCAGTAAATAGGAAATATATTAAAATAATAGACCAGAACTGAATTGAAAGCATATAAAACAGAGTAAATAATAGTCTATATTGTACAATTTTTTCAAAGCCTAAGCCTGAGGAGTTCACAATATAGAGTTGAGTGGAAGAAAAGAAAATCAGAAGCAGATTTCTTATAAGATAACCATTGGTGTTCTACTATCAGAATATGCAAGATTGACGAAAGATCGGAAAAAACTGGAAAAATATCGGCAAAACAAACTTGATGATAACACGATACCTGTATCAGATCAGTGAATAAAAAAAATTAATATAAATATATCTTAGATAGTTTTTTAAAAATAAAATAGTTAATTTTTTTTGTTTTCAGTTATATCCAGTTGGAACATTATTTCCTAATGGTCCAATAATCGAAACCAACTCCAAAGAACCCGCTTTCTTATCCAGTGATCCACGTGAAATCGTAAAATCCGGAAATTATAACAAAGTACCTATGATGATGGGCTGTGTGTCCAGAGAAGGAATGTATGTTTACAGCATTGTCGCTAACGAAAATCTGGTGTTGATACACGAAACGTTGTTACCTAGGACACTGAATTTAAGGATAGGAAGTAATTTGCATACTCAGGCAGCTAACAAAGTTAAGAAGTTTTATTTTGGCGACAACGATCCTCTTGAAGATAAAGATAAGATATACAAGGTGAAAAAAGTTAGAGGTAATGGATTTTGACAGGAGCTAGGAGTCTAGCCAATGCAATACACAAGCCTACCTGTTATTTACAAGGTCATAGCTCTTGTCAAAATCCATTACCTGTACCATTACCATTTAATTTAAAAAAAAATCAAGTTTTTTCCAAGTAAAATATTATAAAATGTAAAGTTTTGAATTATATTAGGTACTGCCTTTTACTCTGTGCTAATAATAGTATATTTTTAGCTCTACACGGATGACTATTTTCTCTACGAAGTCTACAAAAACGCCAGAGAACATTTAGAAACCAATCCTTACCCGATATATTTTTATAGATTTTTATACGATACTGAATTAAACTTTCTGAAAACATTCGTCAATATAACTGACCCAGGTTTGTATATAATGTAGAGATAGTGCAAGCTCTCCTGACCACGGCGCAGTAGACGAAATTTGGTGTAGTGCCCACTTCCATGTGAAACGCATTGTACTTTGCATTGTATAATTCCACTTACAATAGAACCTTTCTGCCTTTACGTGAATTTTGACTCTGCCTTCGCGCAGCTCCATGGTCAGGAGTATTTTTACTTTACGACAAGCAAGACGTTGCGCATAAATAGAAAACAAAGTGTCATGAGAGAGATAGAATAGGCTTGTAGCCATATTTCGAAATGCTGTGTTGCCGCTTTAAAAATTTGGTTATGATGTGAATGTTACGAAAATAATGTATATAAAATTATTATCTTAGATAATATTTAGTAAATATTGTGGTTGATTTTAAATTTAAACCTATAGAATACAAAAGAGATTGTTAAAACCTTACTTCAACACTAAAAATTGTTATTCTTGGTCGCTATTCAAGCTATGTTTATATATCTTCATCAGAATCACTGTTTAATGCGGCGTCACTCAACTCAATTATAATTTGATCAAATACTACATTGCTCAAAGGTTCTTTTGACACAAAGTTATCCTTAACTGAAACGACTTTATCACAAATTTATTCCTTTTTTTCTGTAAAAGTTTTAATTTTTTGATTATTATTGTCTCAATATTAAAGACAAAAATTTCACGAGCATTTATACATCTCTCATTTCAATTTTACCAATTTTACATTATTTATTTCAGGTGTTTCGCACGCTGACGACTGTGGTTATCTATTCAAAACCGATTTCGTACCAGATATAGAAAAAGATAGTGCTGAAGACAGAGCGATTCGAAGAACTGTAAGACTGTGGACGAATTTTGCCAAATTTGGACAACCCACTGTTAATAAAAATGATCAAATTCTTCCTGTGGAGTGGCTTCCAATTTCTAGGGACAAATTTCGAGTATATGATATAGGAGAAGAAGTCAAATTACACGATAATCATCCGGAAACTAAGGCTATGCAATTTTGGGATGAGATGCATACAATAAATCCTTTTAGTTCAAAATTGTGACAATAAAATAAAAATTTAACAACGAAATTTATGATTGCATTTAATTATTTAAACTACTAGATATATAGTTTTTAGGATGGATGTTTTTATTAAGGAACTTTTCGTTTGTCTTCGTGAATTTTTCAGGAAAAATATTTTGAAATCTCTATTAAGGAGATACCACCAGAGCAAATCGTTATTTCAATAAAAAATTATGTCTTGAAAACAATTAATTACATCCTTAAATTTGTGAATCACTATTATCTCTATTTTTACCCCTACGGCCGCGGGGGTCGAATTTACCTTTCTTCAATAAATTTTTTAAGTCCATATCTGTCACTCTCTTCACCGACGCTTGTCCTGCCTAAACCTCTCCCATCAGGCCTATTTTCAAATTCTCGTACTCCTTTCAATTAATTACACCTTGCTCTTCGTATTAGATAATTCAAATTTTAACATTTAACATAGCCTAAATATCTTTTTTTAGCCATTTCTGCCAGATGGATTTGTTTTTCTTCCTTATTTTTACCTGCTTACATTTAGTACCTTTAGTTTACTAGTAGCTAGTTTACTTGTAAGTAAACTGTCACAACTATTTAACAAAATCTTAAACGACACAGAAGTACCAGAAGAATGGCATACGAGCATCACAATTATCCACCAAACCACAGAGGAATAACCCTGTTAAATACAACGATGAAACTTTTCACTAGTATTCTTAAGGACAAATTGGAAAAACAAATCACTAATGCCAAAGAACAACAAGTTTTTACAAGAGGGCGGTCTATAACAGATGCAGTATTCATAATAAAACAAATAAAAGAAAAAGCTATATAGTTCGGCATGCCAGCGTATATTTGCTTCATTAATCTGACGAAGGCGTTTGACAAGATTTGCCTGGAAGACATTTTAAATATATTAATAGAAAATAAGACACCGACTAACATACCAAAGATAGTCCATAACCTAAATAACAACAATTTAACCAAAGTTATAGCAAGAGACCAATTCACTGAAAATATTCCAACACCGGGAGGAATTAGACAAGGCGACAGTTTAAGCCCCTTCTTGTTTAACCTACTCATGGGAAAAATTATAAACAAAGTAACATCTCTCAACCTCGGATACAAAATGGACAGGAAAAGAATTGGTATGGTGTGTTACGCAGATTATGCAGCAATTATTGCCGAATCAGAAGATGATCTTCAGAGACAGCTCTTTCAGTTCTTTCAAATAAGCCGCTAACTAAATATGACCATTTCTACCAACAAAACTAAATGTATGACAATAGCTAAAGATCTGCTCAGATGTAAGTTAGTGGTTTAGAACAACCCCATAGAATAGTGGGCAAAACAAGAAGAGACAGGGTGAGAAATACAAATTTTAGAGAGCAGTGCAAAATTCAAGATATTGTAAGATGGGGAAGGCAGCATAAGAGAATGTTATACAATCATGTAAGACGAATGGATGAGAATAGACTCCAAAAAATTGAACTAGAAAACAACCCGACCGGTTCAAGATCTCACGGCAAGACCACCTAAAACATGAAGGGATAGTTGGCAATCTACCTTTCAGGAAATTAACCAGAGGCAGCTTAAACCTGTTAAACCTTAAACGTAGTACGTGATACGTCTTTAGAACAGAACCATGATTTTCAAAATAAATTTGCACATTTTGGAAACGTTCTATAGGCGTCAGTATATTCATGCTGAAATGTCAAACCAAACTATACATAAATAACTTGACAGCTGTCAAAAAGGCCACCAGTTAAAAAAGTGTTGCCAACTTACATTTCTATATCTCTAAACAAATACCAGATTCTTGTAAAGCTAAATGAAACAACTTGTTAACAATTCTAAAAATATAATTTATTGAACAAATTTTTAAATTTAACAAAATCTTAGTTAATTTTCAAAGGAAATCAGAAGAAATATAATGTACCCAGTAATAAGAGCAGTGTAGACAAATATTACAATAGTTTAATAGGACAATCAAAAACACTTTTTATTTCAATATATATCAACAAGAACAAGAGAAGAATAAGATGTACAGAGATGTATCTATATTATTTTTAAAAAGATATATAAAATTAACGAGTATTAAAATAAACTGAAAAATCTAATTAAAACTACTTGTGGAAATTAAAAAATATCCAATATTTAATATGTAGCTCAGGCACTCAAAATTTGAGAAAAGCCATACTTGCAGTTTTATTGCTGGATATCATTTATGTCCAAGATAGTAATAAGGAAGTAACTTTGAAAATACATTTTTTTCGTAGCTCTCGAAAACTAAAGGTTTTGGCCTGCTGTGAATTTCTTTTTAAGATTATAATTCTGGCCATAGATGATTTTTTTTGAACCTATTCTCTATCCTTCCATTGTTGGATATAGGTCTCCCCCAGTTCTCTCCATCTTTCCCTATCTTGAGCTGTTCTCTGCCATGTGGGACCTCCTTGTTTCCTGATGTCATCTTTCCACCTCATCTGTGGTCTGCCTCTTGATATCTTTGCATTGTATGGACGCCACTTTCCGATGGCATTGTTCCATCGTCCGTCTTGGAGACGTTCATTGTGTCCAGCCCATTTCCATTTCAGTTTTGCTGCTTGTTCTATCGCGTCTACTGTCTTTGTTCTGGTTCTGATCCACTGGTTACGTTTTCTATCTCTAAGTGATACACCCAACATTTGTCTCTCCATCGCTCTTTGTGCCTTCCTTATCCTATCCAAATTGGCCTGTGTAAACGTCCATGATACAGGAGTTATATACCTTGCTTCGTAAGTATAGAGGGATTGTTTGATTTTTTAGAACGTAAGAAAGTTTGCCGAACGCTGCCCATCCCATTCTTACTCGTCTCGATATTTCGGCTGTTTGATTTTCTCTATTAGCTCTGATTGCTTGTCCTAGATAGATATACTCATTTACCTGTTCTATTTTTTCTGTTTTTATTTTTATTGCCTCTTGGTCTTCCGTGTTTGTCATTACTTTTGTTTTGTTGAAGTTAATTTTTAGGCCTTTTTAAAGTGATTTTTCATGAAGTTCATTCAGCATTAATTCCAGTTCTTGTCGTTCCGAGGAGATCAGGAGTATATCATCCGCATATCTAAGGTGATTTAGGTATTTTCCGTTAATACATATTCCTCTGTTTTCCCAATCTGTTGATTTTATTATGTCTTCGAGGGTCAAGGTAAACAGTTTAGGTGAAATTATATCGCCTTGTCGGACTCCTCGTTTAACTTTTATATTATCTGTTATTAATTTGTCGTCCAGAATTACGGTCATGGTTGCGTTTTGGTAAATATCATGTATCAATTGTCGGTATCTTGAATCTATTCTACTATTGACCAGAGCTTCTTCAACCGCCCAGTGTTATATAGATAGATAGATAGATAGATAGATAGATAGATAGATAAATAGATAGATAGATAGATAGATAGATAGATAGATATCCAATAATAAAATCGCAGATATAACTTTTTTATGTATTTTGAGCCTTGATGCTTAATCAAAGTTTTTTGGTATAATTAATAATACAAAGAGCATGGCACTTGGGGAGTGCCGACAGAAGTGAATACTTCTTATAGCGCATTATCACTATATGTAGGTTAATAAAATTTAATGTCGGCTTATTAATGCCTTGTTTATATTTTATATAATACCGCACATTTAAGTTATTTAAAATTGAAAAATCTCCTCGGCGGGAATCGAACTCTACTCATTGATGTAAAAAGTAAAAAAAAAGGTACATAGACGTGAAGATAGCCACAGTTTTAGTGACGTCAATCCAAAGAAGTATATACAACTGTTTGTATGTGTAAACAAAATTGTTCTTAAGATTTCATCATATTTTCTCTCATTTTAAACCGTCTTTGCACTTGGACTTCCTGGACAAATACTTAAAAGTCAAAATTAGCCAAATACATTTAGTTGTGTTCGAGTTGTTATAAAATGGCGTTTTTTAAATGTATGTATATGTATGTATTACATCCATTCTTCTCGTGCCACTCCTAGCGGAGATTGGAAATCATCATGACCACTGCGACTTTGTTAGCACCGCGCCTAAAAAGTTCAATCGAAGTACACCCGAACCATTCACGTAGATTACGAAGCCACGATATTTTTCTTCTTCCCACACTTCTTTTGCCCTTAATTTTACCCTGCATAAAGACGCGCTAAATATTATTTCGAGCTTTTGCAAAAACATCATGCCAAGCGATAAGAAGTATTCCCTTCAAAAATCTAAAAACAAAATACTAAATCCTTCAAAGAAAGTGTCGTCGTTCTTTTTGGGAAATTACAAAATGTACGTACAATAAACATACATTTTATAGTGAATATTACGGCTGATTGGACAAACCTATTATATTATACTCATATTATGACAGTATAAGTTAAAACGACGCAAAAGCGTCAAACTTTTTTCGTTTTATTTATATGCTTTTTAATATTGTTAATACTTTGCACCGCTTTATTTGATACTTTTTGAAACGACGCTTATATACTGGCGTTGTATTATTTTTTCTCTATAGTAAAATTCTAAGGTAAGCGTTACGGAAGTAGCGCCATGATACGGGGTCACAGAAACAGCGTCACAAAATAGCGTATGTTTTGGCGCTACTTTTACTACAGGAGCGGTTTAGTAAGGCACTGTTAACAGCCGGAAGAGTCCATTTAGTCTCTCAGAGGCCATCTGTTTTGAAGGGCATACAAATTGGCCGAATCCTACCTTGAGTGTTACTTAGCCATTTTCTGACATAGCTTGCTAGCCAACCTTTAAGTTTGTTACAACATAAACCTTTTCGATTGTACTAAAATATATCTAACAAGAATATTAACTAATAATGGTTTTGTTACTCTTAAATATTGTTTTTTTTTTGTTTATTTAAATCATCTATTCCACGTGTTTATTAAAATACCACGTGTAATTTCCTCCTCCTCAGTCCAAATCCCTTTTGGGATGTGGTGACACCATCAGGTCTTCACAGTATTTTTACGATTTCCCTCCATCGTTCTCTGTCCTGGGCTAGTTGTTCGGCTTCATGTAATCCCTGG